GGCATGAAAGTAAACATGGAAATTAAACAATCTTCCAAGAATACAGTGGTGGATGATGTCTCCATGTGATAACAAGAAACTCCTGCCATCTTTGAAAGGGTGCAGTTCAGAAGTAACAACTGTGAATTAAAAGACCAAGTTACTCCACCCTTATGCTGTGGCGAAGTTTGATCAAATCTGAACCAAAAGTGGGGACCAAGACCGAAGAGCTTGATTTGTTAATTAAAAAAAAGAAAGGAAAAAGGGACAGCAAAAAAGAAAAAAAGACCCCGACAGTGTCTGACACAGGAATACAGAGATCTGAATCGCTGTCTAGGAATGCAGAACACAGCAAAGTCGAATGTAGTGCTACCTATGGGACTCAACAACACCACCAGGTTTACTGGAACAGGAATGACGTTCACTCTCAAGAATGTTACACAAGGTGGAGGTGCACACAGGGCAAAATGGCAAGCAGCATGTGTGCAAAAAAAAAAAAAAAAAAAAAAAACCACACACACAGGGTATTCTTTTTCTTTCAACAAGGACATGTTTCAATTGTGTTTTCTTAAGAAGTTTTGTCTGGCAAAGAATGCCAGCCGAGGTAATGGTGTCAGTTGATTGTGGTTCTCAGTTGCAACAATACATGCAAATCACGTCAGCTCTGCAATGCTTTTATAGCAATAAAAGCAATAAAACGTTTCAGGAAATCAAAATGATATGGTACAAAAGGTATGATTTGTTACAAGAGAGTCATTGTCTGGGATGAGTATTAAACCAGACTGTGTGAGCCGATTAAAATTCAAAGCATAGACATTGAATGTCAACTTACGTTGGCATGGTCTTCGACGTTTAAAGCAATAAAAATACCATCTAGGGTAGTATCTATGTGAAAAAAACTATAGGTGTAAGATTGAATACAACCAATAGAAATCTGTTTTCATTTTAAGCCTTAAAATAAAATTTGTGGAAAATTCCCTGTGTGGCTTTTCTAGACCATTCATCCTGCTGTTGGATGCTCTTTAGCAACGATTCAAACACCTGTAAAAGGGTTAATGATTGCTGATATATTATAGTGATACTAACAATAGCACATACTTGCATTAATTCTGGGGCTCCAATAAAAAGCAGATTTATATATCTATATTTATATAAAAGCAGATTTTAATGTATTTCATATATAAATTTAACAAAACTTAAAGGCATTAGAGGCAGGAGAGAAAATTAAAACTCATGAGCGACATGACAACGCTTCACGGACAAGAAACACTTCACAGGAGTGCGCTGGTGATGCTGTAACTCTGTTTATTATGTGACAGTTTACTACAAGACCACTGCACATATCTTATGACAGCAACAAGCACCATGTCATGTAAGTCTACTACTGCGGAAACAACTGTGACTTAGTGTATCAAAGCCATTGGGGGCCTGCATGCGTATTACGCAGCACACAGCCTATTCAGCCAATGGAGAAATCCAAGGGTGAGCTTGTTGGTTTTGATTTCTTTAACTATTTGCTAGCATTAAAAAACTGGACATCCATGTGTAGTCTCACAAAATCCCTGCCCCTTGTTCCATTAATTATTAAGTAAAATGTGCAACAACAAAAAAAAGAAGTTAAAACTTGTGTTTCTGGCCAAAGCTAATTCAAAGGTTATGTCCCGATTAAGATGTAAGAACTGAAAACAAAAAACTTGGATATAAAGTTTATAATATTGCATGACTAATCTTTCTGAATATACAAGAACATTCATTAATCAGACAAGACATTCCACTGTGTGGGTTTTTTTATCTGTCTGATGAGACATGGAAAATCAGCCTACAGGGTAAATCCTGGCTCTTTTGAAGGGATTTACTGTGGTCACGCTTTCCCCTTTTTCAAAAGAACCTAACATAATAAAAGATCCCTAATACAAAAGGCAAATAAATGTTAGAATATTAAAACATTAGAGGTGAAAAGTAAAGCATTTAAATATTGGTAAAAGACTACACAAAATAAAAAAAATCGTGTTTTTATTGGGGTACAAATAACCCAATCACAATGCATACTTTAATATTTCTGTGAAAATGCAAAGTGATCTGCATAATCAAAGAATTCCTTCTAGTTTGATAAGAACAAAGGCACATTTTCTGCTTTATATGCCACTGGTTTATGTAATGCGTCTGGTCAGCAATCTAATTAAATCAAAATCAAATCAAATCAGATTTATTTGTATAGCCCTCTACAATAGCCAAATGGAACCCAAGGTTACTTACAACAAAGCCATAAAACAATATATAACACATATATAACATACAGATACAATTAAAAGTGCTGTAGTGGTTCAGCGCTGCAGGACATTAAAAGCCTTCCAGAGGTGCATAGAAAGGAGCACACAGAGAGAGGACATCTAAAGAGAGTATTATCCTAGTCAGAATTAAAAAGAATAGACAATAGATGTATTTACTGAAAAAAAGCTCTTATGCAGCAGCTTAGTTGGAGGAGAAACTGTAAAACAACAATGATTCTCATCAATGGCATAACGAGACAACAATAGGCCCGTAAGCAACATTATCAGGGGGGGCCCCATATGAAGTACAACACCCCATCCCCGCTGCTGCCGTAGACAAACGACCCAAAACGTGCCCCATACACACACCCTTCATCATTTCATCTTTCTGCACCTTCACTAGACATTGATATACTTTAGTATATTCTGCTGTAAAATGAGTCTTATCGGGCTACCTTCAGCTTCACAGCTCCCTCCTCACCCACGCTCTCTCCATTCATCTCCTGGTTGCAATCTTAACTCACTGTAGCAGCAACGTCCACCTCTCCCTCTTCGGTTTATTGAAAGAACATGTTTATTTTGGGAAGTTTTTTTCCGTTCTTCCAGCAGCTCTTCTTTCCTGTTTCTTTTCTAGAATCCACTTAAGTACCTCTTTTTGGTATCCATCGTCGCTAACACATTGTACGTAATGCTTATGGTTTTAATCTACGCTCTGGATTACCCAGAATTCTAAGTCGAACTGTAAAAAATAAAATACTCAAATACATTGTTCTTTTAAAATCTTTATTGCGGTTTGAAACATTATATGAGTGTATTTTTTTTACCAACCGTCTAATGAACTATACACAGTTATTAACATAGTAATTAAAAGTACCACTGTCTGCTTTTCTATTGGTGTCGTATTTAAACGGCTCACCATCATGGTGAAATCTGTATAAATAAGATCCCGTCAATCAACCTAGGATCAGGTGAGTTTAAGATAAGTTTTTCGCACCATTACATCTGCAAAGCGACGTTCTGGAGGAAACAAGTGAAGGGCAGCTGTTTGCCAAAGGGGGAAACCCTGTGGAGAGTTATATCAGGCTGGCATGTGAAGTATGCACCTGTGTGCGTAGGTTCACTGCACCAAACATGCATATCCTGAGCTGTGAGGGCCAGAGAGGTCTGGGGAGCATCGCCACTGAGACAATCATTAAGCCTCAGCACACAAGGACAAAGTCCTCTAGAGCTGAACCATGAGAAAGAATGGTTTGCTTTATGGGGAGAACAGAGTTACAGAAACAATGATCCGGGGTAATGTACAGTAAAATGTTATTTTCATCAAGAGAGATGATGACATACATGTTTAAAAGACAGAGGTAAAAAAAAAAAAAATGTGATCAAGAGTGCAGGGGCGGATCCAAAAGCCCTAAGCTGGTATCACTTACTGAAAGCAGGCGTTGTGCCAGGTATCCTGGAGGACCTTCATCTGGAATGAGTCTTGGATTTTTCCTCCACAACCCGCACAGTAACAATTATCTGCATATGAAGAAATAAAGTGTTTATTCGATGCTTCTGGGAAAAAAAATTAAAAAAGCAGTCTACATTGATTAAACCCTAGTTTAATTCAATAAAATCCATATAATCAAAACATGAACAAATAAACAGCAAAATGTTTGCACCACGTTAAATCGGCTCCCGTTAATAAAGCCCAAAAAATACCAACAACTTCAGGTTATTACAAGGTAACAACATAAAACACTCCTTACTCTCTGATTCCTCCATCGACTCTCCTGAGAGCGTCGTCGAGATTTGGGATCTTTCTACAATCTTCTCATTGTGCAGCAGCGGAGCTGTACATCCCACACTACCACTCTGAAAAAACATCAGCGGGGCAAAACGCTAATTCCTCATTTAAAGCTGCACGGAAAAAAAAAAACAAAGACCAAATTCCTGCTGGACACGGCTGTCTCTCTCCTGTTGGCAGGATAAGTGACGTAATGCGGTCGCCACATTCCTGTACGGAGAGCGGAAAGGCTCAGCTGCAGCACCTGGAGGTAGATTTCAGCCGAAATAGGAAGGAAAACAGCGCCATCTTACGGCCATGCGGAAGTACTGCGGATACAATTCAACCATTTTTATACGCAGACTTATGGAGGACCAACTCTGCCATGTTTAAAAATAAATACAGAAATAAATAGATAGATAAATAAATAAATAAATATAAGTTTGAAGCTTCACTGAAGCAAAACTGTAAAAGTTAGCAAAAAGCTGCATAAGCATTCCCACTTGATTATTACAAAGGTGAACAAATAAAGAACTAATTAAAAGAGATATATACATTTATGTCTCACTGATTAATTCAATTTCTACCTACATTTATTTGTTTATTGTATTTTTGGGGGCAATTAATTGCATGCTTATTTATTTATTGAGCATTTATTTATTTCTGTATTTTTTTAGATATGGCAGAGTTGGTCCTCCATACACCTGAGATGACTAGAAATAATAATACTGACAAAAGAAAGCTTTATGCAGCATAATCAAATGTAATGTTTCTAAACATTAACCAATATTAAATATTGTGCAACGGATGTGATATTTCATCCTGTTTGTAGATCAGAATTTCGTAGTTGTCCATTACATTTTTTTTAAACGAGGGTAACCTTTTTTTTTTTTTTTTTACCCTCTCCTCCATTTATCTATAAGCATAACATGTGATGATGCTTAATCAAACAGTGGTAGTAAATTTATAATTTTAAGAAGATGGACTTTTTTTTCTTTTTTTTTGCAGTGCGGATAACTTTCATCTACTTTAAAAATTATTCCGGTATAGTGAACCGGAAGAAGCATGTACATGGTTCCACATTGAGTGAAATATGAGCCAATGCATGTGTGGATTACATATATTAACATGGAGACTGTTCTATCGCTATAGGCAGGCAGTGACCATGAGGAAAATGGAAGAATATAATAACAGAAATGGGTTTAAAAACACGCCCAGACAACATGAAGAGGGAATAAAGTGAAAAACTCACAGGAAGCAGATAACACGTGTTTGACATACATGTGCAAATTACATAGGCACAAATGCAAGAACAATGCACCACATATAGCCTTTCATGACATCAGTACGCTTCAAATAAAACGTATGTGTATTATGAGTATTTTTTATTTTGCAGAGGTAGGGCTACATCTATAATGCCAAGATATCAACGCGCCTTCATTCAACAGAAGGAGCAAATCCCATTAACTGTGCCTTAATTCAAACCAATTAGACCTAAAAGTATTGATGTTTTAATTGGGTTAAAGCCTAATGGGACTCAATAGAATATAACTAAGTCTATTAATTTATTAGTCAGAGGATTACAACAGAAAAAAAAAAAATTATGTTCTTAAGTAACCTGCTTCATCCACACGTGTTTTTTGGATACTAGGTCCTATAACAAATCAAACTGAGCGTAATTTGCCTAATAAAATAAAAATCGCGTCAACAAACGCAAATTTATCCAATGACTAAGCAATTTTTCTAATGCAAATGATATAAAATAAAGTATTTGCGTTAAAATAACGCCCATACACATAGGCAGTTTGATGCGCATCGCGCTGCAACGCGACACCTGAAGGTGTCTGCGTTATGAAAGAGTGGGCTCTGTTACGTAGTAACAGGATCATTGAAAGAAAGGGGAAACCTGATGGGCGGAGTTTGTGGGCCTTTTTAGACAGCGGTGATTATATGATTCACTGCTCAGGATGGTGTCACTTAAATTGGACTCGTGTCTTCATCTATATCTATATATCTATATGTATATATCTATATAGGTTATATGATCCCATATTGTATATGTTTTGGACGTTACTACAGCGGACGTTTTTTTTTTTTTTATAATCAAACCCATCTATTTTTATTCAATTTCCGCGATGGAGCGTGGAGCCGAAAACACAGAGCCTCTGTCTGAGGAGAGAAGATGTGATCATCAGCCTGCGGATATCAAAGCCAGCGCCGACAGATCGGTGGATAAAAGAGCTGAGAGACCCACGTGGAGTGGACAGCTGGAGTTCATCTTGGCCACGGTGGGATACGCTGTGGGACTGGGCAACGTCTGGAGATTTCCTTATCTCTGCTACAGCAGCGGTGGAGGTGAGCAACAAGTCTGCAGAAATAAACAAACGTCTGAGTAACAGGAAAGGAAAAAAAAAAAACATTTGAAACTAGATCTAGCCACCCCAAACAATGCAACTTCTCTATTTAACATTATTCTAGTTTATGTGAAACTAGAATAGTTATGTGGAGGTTAATGAGTTTACAGCAGCTGAAAGAAAAAAAAAACATGAGTACATTTTTTTTTACTTGGCATAAGAAGCTGCTGACCAGAGATGTACATAAGATTGCTCAACTTCAGCTCATCATAAAGTTTAATCAGCAGTTAATAAAAAAAAAAAAAAAAAAATGCATTTAATGTCAGGGTTCCTGTGTGTGTGCGTTAGTGCGAGTTGTGCATCTCTACTATAGAGGATCTTTGTGGAGAACCTGGGTAGCCTACACAGGTGAAAATAATCTTTATAATCAGAGTGCTGGGCTTAAAAGAGCGCCAGAGTTTTCATTAAGTGCTGGTTTCTTGTGTGTTGTAGATGTTGTTTTGATTTCTAGTCTCTTGCTTCCTCCGAGTATTTTTCCTGACATTTATTGGTTTTCAGTATTTTTGTATTTTTGCTTCTGTTCCCTTGGACTTTCATTAAACCATCCAAACTCATCCATGCCTACTGCTCTCTGCATTTGGTCCTCAAAAGCTCCACACAACCTGACATTTAACATCTCAAAATGATTTATTGAAGTGCATTGCATAGCAAACATAATATTCATCTGCTAAAGAAAATGTCTAGGACTAAGGTCTATAAAGGACTAAGCTTTTCCATCATAGAATAACTTGGCTCGAAAATAAATTACAGTTTTGCAGGGACAGATTAGCAGTATTTGGGCCCCAGGCAATATTTTGTGAAGGGGCCCTTCTTCAGGTCTGCTCTAATGTCTCAGTTGGCTCGGAGTGAAAATTAATTTGTCGTTCTAGCATAGCTTACATTGTGCAATAGTGTGAACCAGATAATAGATCAACACTCTACTGTACTCCCTCCACAAGAAAAGAATCAGAGGAATGAACCAACAGTGGTCAATACTGTAGGAAGAAATGTGTATATTGCTCTGTAGGGAGCGCAGTCAATGGGCTTGTCTCTAAACCGAGATGGGAGGAATACCTAAAGATTTTAAGAGTATCACAACTTTTTTTTTAAACTAAAGTAAAAGTAGAAAGTAGTCTTTTAAGATGTCACTCAAGCAAGAGTAAGAAAGTATTTGGTACGATGGTTACTCAATTACTGAGTAAATGTTTCCTAGTTATATCTGTTTTAATGTTTAAAAGTATGTAATCTGACAGTTATGTGCAAATGTTGATATTCCAAAGTATAAAATAAAGAAAGAAAAAAAATACACAGTATGATTACAAAATGACACATTTGAGAAGAAGAAACACCTCTTTAAATTATTTTTAACATAAAGTTATAAAACCATTTTTTAAACTAGGTAATTCATATGAACTTCCAGCTATTTACTGTATTTCTACCTGACCTCTGATTGGTCAATTACTGGATGTGAGTAGAGTAGCCAGACAGTTTATTTTAATAAGAGAAGTGATAATTTCATAAGAATATTACTAAAGGAAAAGTTTCAAAATAAAAATGATAACGGTAAGGAACAACTGCTACAAAAACTGATTTTTTTTTTTTTTTTTTTTTAAGTTGTAACTAAATAAATGTAGGAAGTTGCTACCCACCTTTCTCTAAATGGGGGATGTGCTAAAAGGTTGGGTTATGCTTGAGGCACGTTGAAACACTGAGTTGCAATAAATTAAGGTTAAAGACCTCATTGTTTATACAGTATATGATTTTGACTGTTCTGTTTAAACAGCAAATGGAAATATTAACAAAAAAAAAAACAACAAAAAAAATGGAACATTGCATTATTCTATTCCACAAAATGTAGAGGCATGAACTTAGGTCATTGGAAGAGAGATTTCATGAGTTATTTAGAGGAATAAGCATTGTAAATAAATAAACATAGAGAAATTGTTAAGTCTGTTTATCGTAGTTTGTTGTCTTCGGTTTTTGATTGATGGTGCAAAAATTAGCACTTTCTGGAAAACTTTGTATTTAAAAAGAAAAACAAGTTAATTTTGCTAGTTCATTGAAACCTTTTAGGCAATGCTTTGTTGAAAGCAAATGGCTTTAGTATTTGTCTTTATTAAACAAATTCTATTCATTTTCATAATGAAAGTCAAATATAGCCTTTAAACAATAGCATTATTTTTTTTATGCAAATAAATTAACGTTGTTTTTGCATGTAAGATTGGTTCCCGGGGTTCATCACTCAACAAAACTCAACCTAATAAAGTCTTATGAAGTCTCAACATGCAAGCCATCATTATGTTATCCCCTGGGGGTTTTAACTAAAGCCCATGCTTTCAGAATTTGGGTAGGACTGGGGTTTAACAAGTGGAGTTTTTTTTGCACATTAAATCCACTAACCTGACAGACAGTAATTATAGTGAGAAAATTTTTTACATTGTGGAAAACCTGAAATGTTACATTTGTTTTTAAACTAACCAGAGAAGTTAGGTTATAATTACAAAATAGCTAAAACATCATAGCATTTATTTTTTATTTTTTTACCTAGCTAGTAATTATCATTCACACTTGTACATTAATCTTTGGAACTTTTTTTCTTTTAGGTGCCTTCATTGTCCCTTACCTCACCATGGTTTTCCTTTGTGGCATACCTCTGCTCTTCATGGAGTTTTCTGTTGGCCAGTATAGCCGTTTAGGCCCAGTGCATGCATTTGCCAAAATCTGTCCCCTCTTTAAAGGTAAGTGACTCTCACTGTTACAGAGGCTCATTGTAGTGATGGAAATGAGTCTCTGGTTAAGTTTTCTACCTTCACAGATACAAATAATACAAGGCCTTGTATGTAAAAGGCATATCAATAGATGCACTGAATTAGACATCTCATAAATTTCTTGTTAGGAAATATTCAGAAATGTACTCAAAAACTTCTTATAATGCCATTTCTTCCTTTTATGACATCTTAATAAATGAGGAATTTTTTTAAAGGTGGATTTATATGAATAATTTGATTTGAAAGCTGAAACTCATGTATTATAGTTTCTTTTTCTTCACACTTAGAGACACTTTGTCCTTTTGTATGCACAGAGTGTATACAAAATGAAATTCCATTGCATGCAGCTTACAGCAGTAAAATGAGAAGCTGACAACTGTGAAACAGTGAAATGAACATTGCCATTTTTAAAGTGCAGCAGTGATCAGAATGTAAACAGTGTAGTAAAAAAGAAACCAGCTTAAAAATAATGGTGCAAAAGGGCATTAATTAAAGTTCAGCACGTTGGTAGTGCAAGATAATACTGCAAGTGTGATGCAGAGTTCCAATTTAGAAACTGGTTTTAGGCATTAGCATACTGTAAGTTCTTGCAGGGCCATTGCATTAGTTTTGGAAAAGTTCTGGAAAATGCTTTTTTTAATCTTACAGATAAAGTTGAGGTTTAAAGCCTATATCTGACCTGCTTAAAATGGCAGTAAAATGGCCAGAGCGTTGAATGTTGAAAGGGTTTGTCAGGATGTGAGTGTTTGTCAGGAAGCAAGTCTTTGTTAAAATATGCTTGTGGAACAATATCACAACCAAAGCAAAACAAACAGAGAGCGAGACCAGTATGATATCTGTAGCATGATGGGCTGTAGTCAGAATCAGGTCACAAATAAAAAAAATAAAATAAAAGAAACGCATAACACGCATTGGCACATTTGCCTGTTCAAACTGACTAAAAGCAAACACAACTGTAGGATGTACTTGAGTAAGATGGCAAGTACATCTTATGCTTGTATTCCATTAACAAGCCCTGTTACCTGCAAACAGAAATTAAGACTTTGCTCAAATTCACTCTAAAAAGGCTCTTTTAACCTATCGACACGGCTCCATGCCCTCATATCAGCCAATCACTATCTCACTTCCTGCTGACAGCATCCCTTCTCTACCCAGTCTCCACTCCAGCTCCAGTGTCAGACGCCACGGGAAAAGATGTACCTAACCTAGACGTACCAGCTTGCTAATGCAGAAATACATTAAGCAATGACGACTTCTACCAGGATTTGAGCATGAAAGACTTTGAAGTCATCATGTACAAAGAATGAAATAAAATTGTGATTGGCTGAATATTTTGTCTGTCCATCCATCTGATTATAATTACCTTTTTCTAGTTTTTGAAAGGACTTTGCTCCAAGAAATGACACATACCTAAATAAAAAGGGTGGATTTCGTTCCTTAACTGCAATGAATATTTTAAACCTGTCCTAATTTTTAAAATGATTTGAAAGTATGAAAATCATATTGTATTAGGTTATTATAAAAACTGCTTGCGAGTCTGTGGTAGCAGCGGCAAAGGCGTCTATCAAAGTTAACTCTGCAGAAAGGAGACACAAGTTAGTGACCTCATTTATGTGGCGGAGGAAGACTAGGAATGTGAGTCACTAACCTGGTACCATAGCTTAGTCCATGCCCAGTGAACAAGGTAGGATCCGGCTGGTGGGTTGCCCGCAAAATGTGGCGGGCGCCGCCCAGAGCGTCCCAGATGCTGCACCCCTGGAGAGCGGAGAACAAGCAGTTGACCAGATCCGGGCAGAAAAAAAATCAAGAGGGCCGAAGCCAAAGCCGCTGTCAAGGACTATACATATAATTTTTTCATACCTGCAAAGATTTTCTGTTCAGTGAAAGGAAAACAAAACAAAAACATGCCGTTCTACTGTAGGGCGTTGGCAATGAATCTGGCACGCCAAATTTGAAATTGTTATGTTACTTTCATAAGTATCATGCCAGACACCATCGCTCTCAATGTCCATTAGAAGAAGGGGATAAAGGAGACTGAAACATTCACAAATCTAATCTCCTTTGTGCTTAATATGTACTTAAATATATTGCATGTTTAGAAACTTCTGTTGCAAACTATTTTTTGAAAAACAAATTTATTCTCATAGTGTGTGTATTCCCTTTATAGATAGATATCCCTGGCTTACCTCTGCACCCCCCCCCACCCCTCCTTTCAACAATAAAAGTTCACTTAAATGCCACCGATCATATGTATGTCACAGTTGTCAGATTTCCGAGGTTATCTGATGACTACTGTGCTTGTAAATTGCTTATCTCCAAAACTCCACCGGTGTAAACCTCTTATCACAGGAATGCGTTCAGTTCATCCATAAAACTGCTTATATTCAACTAATTCATGTGTTCCTGTCCTTATTGAATGTATATGTATGTCATTCATCCATCTTAACCCTTTTCAATCTGTTGACAACTAGAAAAGATTTTTTTTTTAGGTAAATTGCCTGGTGGGCTTTTTTTTTTTTTATGTTCACTGACTTTAATCAAAAATTGCCCAAAAAATCTGGGGTTATAATTAATCTAACATAGGATTTGTATTTTATTAAGCAAATGAATGTCTGTTTTTTCCCTTGTGACAATTCATTTTATCTGTTGATGGATGGAAAAAAAGCAAAAAATTAATTATGTTGTTAAATAATAAAAAAAAATAAAATCACAGTTGATTTTTAAGCTATACTGATTAAGGTTGAAAACGATTTTTCTATTAATTAATGTTTAATGTTAAAACTTTTCTAGAATTGTAATACAAGCTGCTGCTGTATAATTGCCTGAGAAATATTTTTTTCAGTGAAACTAAGAAAAAAAATGCCTTTTCATATTTCACACCTTGTACTTAGCAGCACATGTATTACTATCTAGATCAAAGCACTTTAACCATCAACAATCACCCACTGTTTCTATGAAATGAAATGCTGCATTTTTTTGTTCTAACTTGAGATTTCTCTCCATAGTTTTCTCATCTCCTTATAAACAGAGATAATCTACCCGGTCAAAACGTTTGGGTCCTTCCCTTGATATATCGCTCATTTCTTCCTGGTTATTGTTCTGTGCTAAACAAGAGCCGAAAGCAGGTAGTTTGTTTTCTGTATGCTCTTGTAAATTATATACCTGTGCACCTCCGTCTCACTTTACAAGTACACCTTTCTTCATGCTGAATGATAATGTTTTGTATGTATTTTTCCATAAATATGATATCCAGAAATATAATCCACTGTTACCAATTACCCCCAGAAGTTAGCTAATGAGGAAATGCATTTGCATTTGATTTAAATTGGGTGTCAAGTCATTTTTTCTTTAGGAAATGTCATTGTACAGAGGTTTGAGCTGAAGACAATGCTCCAATCTTTAAATATCTCAATGTTTAAATTTAGAAAAGAATATGGCACGTCCTCATATTAACCAAAATTTATGAGACTTTCCAGCACATCCTGCAGAGCTTGAATGCACAGATGTTTGGAGAATATGGAGAAGTCAATTCCTAAAGCTCTGTTGTGTCCTTGGAACAATTTAGGTTTTTATTTGCGCATTTTTGTTTGGATTTGCAACACCTATTGTAACAGATGTAGCTTTAGAGCAGTTGGCGCTTCCAGTGTCTGTGTTCATAATTCCAGGGGCCAGACTGGGATCACGAGTCAGCTCTGGACTTTTTGCAAGTTAGCCTCCCTATCAGATACGTTCAAGGAGTGAGCAACAAGGTTTTCCCAGTGGTTGCTAAGATGTTTGTCATTGTCTTTTAATATCAATATTTTTATCAACACTAAAATATAAAAATAATTTACTTATCCATAAAAAGAATATCAACTTTTTTTTGGTAATCTAAGTAAACAGAAGGCCTTTTCTGGTGAGGGGGAAAAAAAGTAGGGGCACCCCCTCATTTTTTAACATCATAAACAGGCATGCCACATTAAAAGATTACTCAGCATTTTCACAAACATTTGCCCTGTTTCAGCCACAGAGATTTTATCTGTTGCACTCTTAACTGCTGAAGGGAGAGTGAACACTGTGCACTAATTGAAAGAGCAGTCTGATGATTTCAAATGGAAAATCCCAGCTCATGGGTCTTGTAAGGGATTAAAAAGGGATCTGAACAGTTTTGTTTGTCTTACATCAGTCTTTCCACATTTCAGAAGGAAATCTACAAGGGGACTTTCAAAATAACTGACATTTTGCATACGTTTCCAACCAAGCAAGTTGATCCTGAAAGCAGATCCCAACATGCTAAAGTTAAAGAAAAACAAACGCCATTGTTAGACCTAAAACGTGCGCCAATGATGTCCGATGAATGATTGTACAATAAAAAAGAGAACACATAAATATTTATGTTTAATAAAAAGTGCACAAAAAGAAAGCAATTGATCTGTTAAAAAGAAAGGAAAAAGCAGGAATACCAAACCAAAGTAAGTTACATATCTGAACGAATCATGGTTTGCCAGTTCTTCTATGCAGCAAAGAGTGCCTGCAGAATATGGGGGATATTTGTGAAAATAAGCTGAAGCAGAACTGGACTCTGCAACATAGAATTGAAGCATATCAGTAAATCTAAATGTAAACAGGGGGTGTCCTAATTTTTCCCAGTGCTGTGTGGGTACCCATTGTTCACTTTCTGCTGGCAATGGAAATGGTACCATTGCCCTGCTCTTCTGCTGAGTCACTCCTCAGTAATGACATCCCTTCAGTCTAAAACTTGACCCACTCAGATTGGAACAAGTCTTTTAAACTTTGAATAATTTACAGCTCTTGCAGGACTTTGAACTCCTTTTGTTTTATATTCAACAACCACCCACACCAACATGTGATTTAAAAGAATAACTTGAGCAGTTACTCTTATCTGTGGCCGACTTAGACCGAAATAACAGGTTGTTCTATCTAGCATACAGTAATAATTCATGCTTTGAGTCAATTGTGTAACTACAGTACTTTAGCACAGATTGCATGACGTCTGCTGATCCATGCCTTTCTTTGCTATCTGCTCTTCCAAATATCACTCTACAGGGGTAGGTCTGGCTACAGTCGTCATCTCTTTCGTGTTCTGCACATTTTACAATGTGCTGATGAGCTGGGCCCTTTTCTACTTGTTCAACTCGTTTAGAGAAACTCTGCCATGGTCTACTTGCAACAACACGTGGAATGCTGTGGGAAACTGTTCCAATGGTTTTCCTGGCAATGCTACCCACCTGCAGTCTTCAAGCCAGCAGTTCTTTGAGTGAGAAGCCTTCAGTTTTTCTCCACAGTCACATTAAACACGGCTCATTGTAGATGTTACATTTAATCTACACAGACGTTATAAAATGAGATGGCATGTAGTTTGGAACAATGAGCTCATATGTCACTCCTTGGCCCTTTTCAGAAACATATTACCGTACTGAATTTTTTTTTTATGTGTGAAGATCAATTTTATCTCTCATTATTGCTCATTTAAGCAGGGAAAATGAGTTTAATATATAATTGTCTCTTTTTTTTCTCCCCAAATTCTTCCAGTCACAAACTTTTGGAGAAAACCAGCGGCATTGAAGAAGTCGGCGGCTTGCAGTGGGAACTGTTTGGCTGTCTTCTTCTTTCCTGGATCATCATTTATTTATGTATATTTAAAGGAGTCAAATCCACTGGCAAGGTCTGATTGATTTTTGATTTTTCCACATGATAGAGACGCATACATTGCTCTAAAATGGTATTTGCCCCTTTACAGAGGTCTTCTTGTGTTGGTTTTATTTTGACTCATATTATGAAACATTCAATATCAGGTGATGATAATCTGTCTACATACATAAAGTAGTTTTCAAGTTCTGATTCCGTTTATTAATGAAAATCAATCAAAGCCAACCAGATTCACTCTGATAACATAATTGCTCTTTTTACCTAATGACTGGTTGTGTAATGTCACTGTATTATGTTTTTCTAAGATTGTTTATTGTTTTTAAACTAGATATGAGAGGATGCACACTTTCCAAAAAAACATAATATTTTTGTTTTATTTTTTTCTATTTTTTAAGTTCTTTCTGTGTAAGCTGGGACCCTCTCTTGTTGAATCATGAGGTTTTCAGAAGTGAGACGAGCAGACTTTAGCTGTTTTCCTGGTTTGTTTATTGACCTACTGGATGAGTAGTCAATGCATCTTTGAAGTCATTTTATTTGACGGGCAGTCCTGGGAAGGTTCAGAAAAGTTCAATGTTTTCTTCATTTGTGAATAATGGCTCTGACAGTGGAGGGTGGAGTCCCAAGACCTTGGAAATGTTGTAATCAAAGTGTGTTTTTTCTTGTCCGTCCTTATATTACTATAGATTGAGTCGTGATGTTTTCTCTTTTTCTTTTTTAGATATGTTACTGTACTTTACATGCTCAGACAAGGGATTTCTAGATTCCACATATCTTTCAGTAATCAATTCGGAATCTAGTTAGTGGAATATTATGTAAAGAAGAGAAAGAGAAAATACTGTCAATCCCCAAAAAAATATTTTATGAACAGGTATTCTCACTGAGATCCAATATATTATTTTCAATTGTCATTACTTGATTAAAACAGAAAAAAGGGGAACACTAAACAAGTTTATAATGGGGAAAATCTTTTTTATAGCAATGTTTAATAATGAAGTAGATTAATCTCTCAAGTATCTGTTTATGTTTATTCTCTCTGACAAAAGGAGCCTAATCGTTCTGATTTCTATGTCATGTTATTAGTTGTCCTATACTACAATATGCATCATTACTACTTTAGAATAATCATCTTTCAACCTGAGTTTGATAATAATTGCAAACCAAGTTTGTATCCACATGTTGAAAGTCTCCTCTTCTGGTTTTTGTGCCCATAGGTGGTGTACTTCACTGCTGTTTTTCCATACTTTGTCCTGTTCGCCCTGCTTATCAATAATGTCCAGCTTCCTGGAGCCAAGGAGGGCATGCTTTATTTTGTAACACCTGTTTGGGGAAAACTTTTCGAAGTTAAGGTGAGGCTATGTGGTATAAACACCACTTACATGTACTTCTCTACTATAGCTGAATACAATCTGTTATCTGCTATTATCTGTCACTATTTATCCTGTATTATAAACCCACTAATATATACATAATCCATATCCTAATTTTCATGTGTAATCTGTATATAGCTTCCATATTTATTTATTTTATAGCCTCTTACAATTACTCTCTGTTTATATATATACCATTTGTACTCCATATATACATAGTTTCTGTATACATGTAAATTAATATTTATATCATGTATAGCACATCTGGATGGATGCAAACTACAGTACATTTTGTTGCTTTGCACTTGTGACAGTGTCATGACAATAAAGTTGAATTCTATTCTATAAAGTAACATTAAAAATAGACTTTGTGTGGATGTAAAAAAAGGAAGGTATTTTCTTTTTGATCCATTTTTTTATGAAGCTTTTCTAATTTCTTTTCAATGTTCTAATTTGCAAATGTCAATATGTCATAAGAAATAGCAGTAAATAAAATTTTTTTAAAACATAGTGGCTCAATTGCTTGCCATCTCCAAAGAAAATATCCAGAAGGATTAATAGATGAGATGATATTGAGACGATCTGACATAACAAACCATTTTTTTTTTTAGCGTTCTTGCTTTTAAATATGAGTCCATGGCCACATGAAAAAATGAAACATTTAAGAACGTCATGGAACTTAAAATGAAATCAAATACAAACGTAGAAAATGCTTTCTTTTGTTATGCTTGTTTCACAGGTTTGGGTCAATGCTGCTGCCCAGGTGTTTAACTCGCTTGGAATAGCATTCGGCTGCATGATTTCAATGGCTAGTTACAACAAGTTTAACCACAACATCACAAGGTAAATATGATTGGTCACTGCATTTAAGATATAAAAGCTTTATTTTTTGGTATGTTTCATTGAACAGTACTTTAAGGGATTGTTTACCAAAATAAAAAATAATAAAAAATCACTGAAGGAATTTTCTCAGCCTGTAAATTACAGACTGATTTTTTGTTAAATCTTCACTTGAGATAGCTGCATAATATTTTGTAGGATATTACATTTTCTTTTTGATAATTAGTTGTGAGGATCTTATCTTATTGACTCTTGGGTATACAATTTAATTGGTTGTTTTGGTTTGTTTTTTGTTTCGCAGAGATGTGTTAATAGTTTCATTAACCAATTCCTTCACAAGTATCCTGGCTGGTTTTGTAATCTTCTCAGCTATTGGCCACATGTCTTATAAACACAATCTACCAGTGGACAACATAGCCACAGACGGTAAGAAGCACATCTAAAAAGCCATCAGACTGTAGTAGTAGGAAAAAAAAAAAAAAAAAATCCCTCAAGTAGTTCTTTAGAGTGACTGGTTTCATTGTGTAATTTCTTAATTCCACTGGAATATTTGTTGTAGTATTTTAATTCCTTAGAACAACAGACATAACTTTTATTTTTTTTTCTAGTTTTCAAATTTGTTTGCTCATGAGTAGTTCCACCCAATACAAGCAGCTGTTTGATGTGTTCAATGTTGGTGTTTTGAGTTATTTCAGCTGGAGTAAAGGCACATTTCTGTTGTCTCACAGTTGGAAAGTTCTGTTTTTGACCCTGCAGGAGTCTGATCCAAAAAGAAGTTTTAAAGAAAGCGTAAACTTTCAGGGTTTTCTGAGGTTATGCGATTATTCTTGTAACTTACAAACAAAAATTGCATTTTTCTTTTTTAATAGAAGCTTGAAGCAGCTGCCTGACACCCTGTTTTTTTTCTTCATCCATACATTAAATATAAAATATAATTCATTAACACAAAACATTTAGGTTCTGTATGGAACATAATTTCACTGCCTTGGCAGTGAGAAAAACCTGCTGACAAAAAGAATATCATGGTCTCTGTTGGTAGCTTTTTTTAAAACAAATCATGACACAGCTAATTAGTGGAAGAAAATGCTCTGTTCATAAGAGGCCCGAATTTAAACTTACTTATTAAACTAAACCTGCACCCTAAATAAACTGTTTCTGTAATTAAAGTTAGTGGCAGCAGCATCATGCTGTGTGGAGGCATTTTTTTAACAGATAGAGAGAAAAGGTGGTGAGTGATGGTAGGATAGATGGAATGCCATAGCCACAGGGTAATTCTGAAAGAAAACCTGTATGAGTATGCAATTTACTTAAGAATGGGGCTAAAATTCACCTTCCAGCAATGTTCAGACATAACTCCAGCTATAACGCTGTTGCCTAACTTGAAATGCTGTGAATGCATTTAAATACGTCTCACCAAAACACTGCTTCAATCTGACTGAATACAAATTTGTATTTGTGAACATTTTTGAAAAATATATTTGTGATTGTATATATCAAAATACAAGTGAATACAGCCAATGTTAACACAGCTGAGTTTGCGTAAAGTCAAAAGTGTGATTTAATAGGCTGTAATTTTGACAGCCTTAAGTGTACTATGTTTTTTGTATTTTGGCTAGGTTTGCCTCTTACTGTAAGTAAAAGGCAAACCTAGTATTTACAGGCTAAAAATACGGTTCAACTAATAGTAGGCTAAAGTAAATTTTCTCCTGCTGCAGTTCGGTCCCATAAAAGCCTGTTTCATGTCTCAGGTCCCGGTTTGGTGTTTGTTGTGTACCCTGAAGTCCTCTCCACCATGCCCGGCTTTCAGTTCTGGGCTCCATTGTTCTTCATCATGCTGCTGTGTCTTGGTCTCGACAGTCAAGTAAACATTTGCTCCTAATAATGCCTATTTCATATTTGAGTTTTTCCCATTTATATTTCTAATTAGAATACTGATCTATTCCAGCCTTTAAAAAATATATATCAAAAGCATTCACATGCATGTATTTGGTTTCCTTTTTATTGTGTTCACGTTACATATTTGAGCTGACATCATTGCTAACTAAAGAAAACTTCATAGAAAACTTTAGCCTCATATGCATACTGATGGGAAACACAAAAGGTAACTAGGCTGGATTTATTTAATAGTTTCTTTTACTTAAAGACATTTAAATATTTGCTGATATTTAAAAAAAAAATTATTGGGTCACATTGTTTCCTACTCCCTGCATGCCTGTTAAAGGATTAGATTTGTAGATGTTAACTGATCTAACCAATATATAAAAACAGAGTTATACTTTTTGTAATTTAGATGGGGCCTTTGGGTTTTCTATTTTAATAATTCAAGCATTTCTCTTCTTTTTTTAAACAATAAAAAAATAAAATACATGAAAAAAGTGACCAATTGTTTACAACATTAACCTAACAGTTGGAAAAGCACTGTTTTGGAATTATGAAACTGAAATCTAGCACATACTTCCTCTAGAGGCACATAGAGAGAACTAGACAAGGAAGGTCTATGTGCATATTTATCTGGGTCTATGAAAAAAAAAAATCAAACTTGAAATGCTAAAATATTTTCTGGGTATAGTAGAGGCCTTCCTATGGTAGGAAGGAAATCAAAGAAAGGTTTGCATCACCTTTTAAGAGTTGGAAGAAATAAAATACTGACAGACAAAAGCAGTTTGTACACTTACTGGTGGTTCACTTACCGTACATTAAGTTTATCAAGTCACAAGTGCAGAGACAGTTATCTGCAAGCACAGCTGGAAGAGAGGAGCTTGTCAGGCTAGGACCTACACCAGGTGCATATTGATCAACCATATGTGAGATTTAAAATCTGCACACCAGTCTTAGTGCGCACTGAGATTTATAATTGTGTTGATGTCGGTGACAATAAAAATACAGCATATTGAAGCAGGCTAGCAACCAGCGGTGGTAATCCATGAAAGCCCTTTTTGTTATATTGATACACAGTACTGTCCCGGCTTACTTTCAACCCGGCTTTTAATTGATTGACAACAAATAATAATAACTAAGCCATTTTTATTTAACAGTATTGTTCTAACTAATCTCCTACAGGAAATTCTGATGTTCTTTACTATACTTGTACTCAGAGTTTCCACATCGAGTGGTTTATTCTCATGCATGCGGCTATCCTTGTGTTGTGGAAATTTTCAGTTACAAAGAAGTGAGACATTGTTTGAACAAAAAAAAAATCGATCATGTCTTTAAGTGTATTTAAACAGTGTTCAAAGGCACATGCTCTGAGAGTCGATGAATATGTGCCCCGAGGGCTGATCAAATTTTATTACATTTGAAACACACACACTAACATGGGTAGGGACATGGGCAGGAGACAGGTGTGGCTACAATTAACAGAGTTGAGGGGCCATCCCAGACTGTTAGGAGACTTGAGCAATAAAACGCAACCCCCACAAGTAGTAAATTCTATCTCAAAAAGATTTGCTGATTAGGGGGGGGGGGGGGGGGGGGGGTCCAGGTCATCTGACTGAGGGTAGGTGTACTTTAAGCAATTACTTCTTATCAGTGAATGAACACACATATATATATATATATATATATATATATATATATATATATATATATATATATGGGAAAAAATAAATTACATCATATTTTCTAAACCTTAGATTATGCTACAAAAACTGCAGAAATGCACAGGGTTTTATGTTTATACTTTTTAAACAGTCTTTTAACCTCAGAGAGCCTGATGTGAGGGCATACCTTCACAATGCCTTTAGGCTTTTTGCTATTTTATTGTTTTTGCCATAAGAACTCACTTTGGATGCCTTATGGTTTGATAAAGTTCTTTTTGAATAAGTTTTAGAAAAAACTGATTGATTGATTGATTGGTGTATTTATAAGCTCAGTAATAATGGAACAAATTACTGCTATGCAGATCTCCATAAAAAGTTCAGAATGCTGATCCAGAATGCTGCTGCCCACATCCTCACTAAGACAAAAAAGATGGAGCACATCACCCCAGTTATAAAGCGGCACTTTCTTCCCATCTCTCAGATAATGGACTTTAAAATACTACTTTTAGTCTATAAATCACTGACTGGCTTCGCACCCATACATTACAGGCTTGCTATAATTTTATCAACCGCCCAGTCGTCTCAGGTCTTCTAGCTCTAACCTACTCAATATTCCTAGAACCAAACCCAAACATAGAGAAGCAACTTTTAGTTTTATGCTACATTATACTGGATTAAACTCCCAGAAACTGTAAAAGTGTTGAAACCCTATTTATTTGGTGTTCACTTTGGCTGTGCTATCTAGACATACTTAAAGATTGAACACGTTTTGTTAAGAGCATCTTTAATGCACTATAATGTATCTGTGTTTTTATTTTCATGTTCTCTCACCCCCCCCCCCCCCCACCGCTAATGGTTTTTTATAACCATCTTATTACTTTTGTTGATCATTTTTTCATTCTTTTTCAGTACATCAATTTGATTTATCTTGTTACTAAAAACGTAGTTATGTATCTGTAGCACCATGTATCTACTTATCACCTCTGATGTTGCATTCAGAATAATGGGATATGTTATTTTTGGTCTAAAATAAATACTTTATTTTCTGAGAGCATCTTGTTAGGGATTCAATTGCATTGGGATGAGTTATAAGTGAGTAAATTATGTCTTCTGCAGTTTGGCAACGTGGAGGTGGTGGTGACGTTTTTAAAGGATGAGTTTGGAATCAAAATTCTGCAGTACCTAAAAAGAGAAGAGCTGCTCGCTCTGGTTGTTTGTATTACAGGGTTTGTTCTGGGGATCCCTCATGTTACTAAGGTGAAAAAAAATTATTAATATCTTACAGAGATAATGCATTTAAGCATTTCAGAGGGCCCACAATATTAGTTACTAAAGCTTTACCCTCCTGTTTTTTGCAGGGAGGTATTTATGTGTTCCAGCTGATGGACCACTGCACTGCTGTGGTGTCCCTCATATTCCTTGCCTTCTTTGAAGTAGTTGCTGTATGCTGGATCTTTGGTAAAGTTTCACATGAATTTCAACTTTTTAACTAAGATTTGAACTCATTGCAACATTTTCAAGGACTTTGATAGCAAGGACCAATCACATTTGCTTTTATTCTTATTTTCCTGCTCTGAGTTTCACTCCTGATTGGGTCCTGATAATTAATTTCTTAATTTCTTTCTGACAGGTGTCTCACGTCTTTCCCTCATGTTTAAGAGGATGCGAGGCAAGTCTCCGAGCATCTTCTTCCGCTTCTGCCTGCTCCTCTTCTGTCCCCTGCTGATGTTGGTGAGTTTTGTTTTTGGATATAACTTCTTATAAACTCGGTGTTAAGGCCTGGTCTTGTTTTCTGCACAGTGCATCCTTGGTTCCAGCATTATTCAGTACACGCCCCCTCGCTATGGAGAGTATATGTACCCACTCTGGGCTAGGTTAGTGGGGTGGGTCATCTCTCTGGTCTCCATTGTGTGGATCCCTCTTTGTGCTATTCATGAGATATACAATAGCGAAGGGTCACTTCTTCAGGTGAGACAAATCTGTACATTTTTAATCTCTTATCATCTTTCATTATTAAATTTTTTATAAGAATTAAACTGTTGTTAATCTGGTGATTTGACTTTATTAGGAAACAATGAAGGTTATGATAACTGACTCTGATTAGATATTGTTGGAATTTATTCATGGTGGCTGTTTGTTCAAAGTAGTTCTCAAGGATTGTTTCTGTCTCATCTTCTTTAGAGAATTAAAACATCGCTGACTCCAACATTAGATATTGACGCCATGGATCCTCAGCCTGAAAAGCAAAATTCAGACAATCCAGTGTTGGAAAAAATGTTAAGTTCATCTGTGTAATTGGAGAGATGAAACCAACTCTGTGAGAAAATCAGTCCTCCAGTGGGGCTCATAGCTATTTTAGTATTTTTCCTTTTTTTATAGCAATGCTTTTATCTATACATGCACTGTCAATTTTTATTGTTTTCTTTGCACTCTCAACTTTTCAGAGTATGTCATGGGACTTCTTGCAATGTAATAATGAATATGGAAATGTACACTATGCTTAATAATGATGGGATATATTTCTTGGTATTTTTAATGAATCTGCTGTTACTTTGTACTGCATGAATCTTTGGGAATGATGGCTTATGCTTCTGTAAATCTAAATAACGATGGATGCTTCAGGGGTCATAATGCAATAATCAGAATCCTTTACAAAAACAGAAGAAAAATTAGACCTTGCCGGCCTTTAATTCATGTTTCCCTCTTTCTGCCGTACTCGGTTTATCTTGTGACAGAAACTGAAGTCATCGAAATGGGGACTCCCATTTTGATAACCTTTATGATTATGTACAGTAAGTTCCTGAATTTGAATATTCAAAAATGAAATGAAAAACATGTTTGTTATTTATAGCTAAAAAATAATGTAACCCTACCACCCCACAAAAAAACAACTTGTAAACTATTGAATAAAATAAGCTATAAGCTTTTAAACTATTAAATGACAACAGAACCAAAAACGTTAATTCATAAACGGTTTTGGGAGTACATTTTCTGATGCTAAGTAGCTCATTGCTACTTAGCAATGAATGAAAAGGAAGTTCTCCACCATCACTCTGATGTCTGTCAAGTAACACTGTGCAAAAGTGTAGCTGTTACATCGCTGTACATTTTTGAATGTACTCCAAGAACAGTTTAAGCCGGGGTTGCAAAAAATATTGAAAAATTTCTGAAACCCATACAAAAATGTTCCACAGACTGTTAAGTTGCAGAATTTTGAAATTTTCCTCAATATGACATTTTTCAAGGGAATAAATTGACATCATAGGAATTATCAGGACAACCAGTAACCACATTGTATCCAAACAATATATTAAACTACTAACTACTGTATTGCTTTGTCTTTACCAGTGATCCATTACGGTAATTAAACTATATTTTAGCTGATATGTATGTTAATTTGACAACTTTGTTTATTTATTAGCATTTCATTTAACAACAAGAAAAATTTGAAATATAATGTCATATTTGAAACATTATTTTAAACATAATGACATAAGAGAGAAGAAAGCCACTAGATTCTTGTTGAAATGTTATTAATTATAACTCAGGCTTAAGATCGTTCTACTAGTATAGCAATGATTTACTCTGTAAAAGTCAAAACTCTGTGGTTGGTTAACAATAAAACAGTTATTTTCAGAATTTACAAAAAAAAATAATGTAGGAATGATGGTTTTATCTAAATGGTTTAAGAAGCTCTGATTTAAAAACTTACAATTTCTGATGTTTGATTATTTAAGTAAAACAAACTTTCTGCTAGAAGTGCCTGTTATACCAAAACATGTTTGTACCTTAGAATAATTAAATAACTGAACATTTACATTACTGTGGTGCTTTTGATATTCAGTTTAAAAGAAGAGCTACAAATAGTTTTTTTTATACTTTTGTGAATAAAAACCATTTTACAAAGAAAGATGTTTGTTATAATTTCTTTTAACTATATTGTCTCATTTGGTATTTCATTTTTTTATTTTCATTTTTTGTCGTTTCTATACCAGGTACTGAAATGTTAAACAGCTTTATTTTTTCACCCTGTTGAATATAACATGCAGTCCATTATTGCCTGGAGATATTAAATTCTAAAATATATACATTTTTCACTTTATTTAAACCAAATACGGGGTGTAAATGTTAATAAATTACACGATTTACAATAATATACACTGCTCAAAAAAGTAAAGGAAACACTCAAATTATACATCTTGGATTTGAATGAATGAAATATTCATATTAAATACTTAGTTCTGTACAAAGTTAAATTTGTTGATAACAAAATCAAACAGAAATCATCAATGGAAATTAAATGTATTAACCAATGGAGCCCTGGATTTGGAGTCACACACACAAAGTGGAAAAACAAACTTCAGGCTGAACTAAACTTTGATGTGAGGTGCAGCAGGTCAGGTCACTGAGGCTCAGTATTATGTGTGTGTGTGTGTGTGTGTGGCCTCCACCTGCCTGTATGACCTCCCTAAAGTGTCTGGAAAGGCTCCTGATGAGGTGGTGGATGGTCTCCTGAGGGATCTTCTCCCAGACCTGGACTGAAGCATTCACCGACTCCTGGACAGTCTGTGGTGCAATGTGACGTTGATGGATGGATCGAGAAATTATGTCCTAGATGCGCTCAATGGGAATTAGGTCTGGGGAACAGGCGGGCTAGTCTAGTGCACTTCAACGTCTTCATCTTGCAGGAACTGCTGGCAAACTCCAGCCATATGAGGTTTAGCATTTTCCTGCATTAGGAGGAACCCAGGGCCAAGCGCACCAGTGTATTGTCTCACAAGGGGTCTGAGGATCTCTTCTCGGTACCTAATGGCATTCATGCTACCTCTGGTAAGCACGAAATGCCACCCCACACCATTGCTGACCACCCTGCCAAAACCTGTCCTGCTGAAGGAAGTTGAAGGCGGCAGAACGCTCTCTATGGTTTCTCCAGACTCTGTCAAAGGTATAAAACTGCTTTCATCTGTGAAAAGCACAGGGCACCAGTGCCGAATTTGCAAATCTAGGTGTTCTCTGGCAAATGCCAAGCTTCCTGAACGGTGTTGGGCTGTGGGAACAACCCCCATCTGTGGACGTCAGGCCTCATACCAGACTAACAGACTCAGTGACTGCTGGAGGTCATTTTGCAGGGCTATGGCAATGCTCCTCCTGTTCTTCCTTGCACAAAGGCGGTGGTAGAGGTCCTGCTGCTGGGTTGTTGTCCTCCTATGACACAGCAAAAGGTGTTGCCACAGCTCGTATTTATGTACCATCCTGAATGAGCTACCTGAGCCACTTGTGTGGGTGGTAGAGTCCATCTTATTCTAGCACGAGTGGAAAAGCACCATCAATATTTAAAAGTGACCAAAACATCAGCCAGAAAGCATAGGTACTGAGAACCTCTCTGTGGTCGCCACCTGCAGAATCACTCCTCTATTGAATGTGTCTTGGTTAGTGCCAATAATTTCCCCCTTTTGTTTATTCTATTAGCGAAACAGCATATGAAATTTATTGTCAATCAGTGTTGCTTCCTAAGTGGACAGTTTAATTTAATTGAAGTCATAGTGTGTTGTTTGCGTGTTCCCTTTATTTTTTTAGCAGTATATATAGTATTTTAAAACAGGACAGCTTTTACTGGACTGAATACATGCAAATCGATTTGATTCAGTTATTTGTATAGCATCATATGATCATAAAAGGATCTAATGTGAACAGAAATTATCCTTGATATTCGCAGAGGCATAAAAATCAATATATTTCATAACTAATTATTCTGATCAGTTCAGCTTTGTGTTTTTTGTCAGAGAAGACAGAGCAGACAAACACAAAAAATGGGTATGTTACATAATTTTCTTTTTAAAAACAGGTCAGTTAAATGACAGCAAAAACTTTTAAGTTAAGGGAGAGAGTTTTAGTCAGTAGAAAGAAATAGTAAGTCAGACAGTAGCTATTAATTTCCTTTGGAAAGACGCAGCTGGCAAGCCTATAGTTACTCAAGGTGAGTTTATATAACAAATTTCAGCGGCAAGATGATTTAAAGTGCTGTTATTGGGGAAAAAAAGAAAATTTCATTGTAGGGCCAAAAAGGTAACAAAGAGAGAATTAAAAATAATAATTGAAATATTTTGAAATTAAATTATTGATTTAAAAACTGAGCTGAAGGTTGAACTAAAAGTTAAATATTGTCTTGAATGCAAAGTCAAAGGCCACTTTTAACAAAAACAATTTAAAGCAACCTAGATTTTCAGAGCTTTTCCAGGTTCTGGGGAGTTTAATCCAGATTGGAGGAGCAAAAAAGAAAACTTACAGAGGGAAATTAACAAATACGGTGAAAACTTGAAACGTCTTAGACATGTCCTCTAAGTTACAATTAGGCTAATTTATTAAATCTCAGATATGTGAGTATATCATTTTAGATTATTCGAGAGTAAATGTTACACCACAGACTATTTACTCTTTTACTGTTGTGTGACTGCAATAGCATTATCAATTCAGGTTTCTCCATCTGCTCACACTGTCAAATTTTACATTCAAGTTCTCTAAATGAAACATCCTGGACACAAAGAGCTGGGAAGAGGAATAAAGTATGGGAAGACTGATAAAGACAACAAAAGCTGGACATAAAGTAGGACAAGTGGAAAGAGCACAAAGTGAAGGAAGTAACTGATATTAACTGGAGAGGACAGACCACAATAAGTGCTAAATAATGCATACTAATGCACACCACAACAACTTAACAAAGATGGTAAAACTGAGTTATCCAAGAACACAGAAACATCACAGAATAGAATAAATTATCACCCTATGTACTAAGATAGACAACTGTGAAACTATCTCCCAAACAATTCAACATATAACCTAAAATGGGTTTGTTTCAATTACAATGAAATGGTAAAACTCACTTTATTAAAATATAAAGCACAAAGTTTACACATACAGTTATACACTTGGATGGAAAGGTATCACACGAGATCACCTTTAAGTTAAAAGGAAAATAACCCAAATGCTTGACCTCCCACCTACCAAGGAGGGAATACATTAACAGGAACAAGGTGTGTAATAATTAATGGGCTTTGCCTGAGACAACAATAGGCAAACAGAACTGAGAGAAAGCAGTGGGAGGGAAGGGCTGAGCAAAGAAAAGTATGGAACAATTTACGTCATGACATAAAACATGAATCAGCAAAGGAATAACACACAAAGACGTCTATATTTACTCATGTTAGTCACATTGTTAATATGAATTGGGCTACATGTCTTTTCAACAAAAGAAAATAAGGAGTAGTAAATACTTGCAGATCTGTAATTTAGGATTAAAAGGTTGTTGCCCTGTCCTCACATACAGTTTCCATTTCTTTCTTTTAGATTGTCTACCTCTTGAATAATGTCTTTGTAATATATATTTTTATATATATATATTTGCGGTTTCACTCATGCCTGAGATAGTCCAACTCACGATCACCTGTATCGGAGTATATATACACTATATTGCCAAAAGTATTTGCTCACCTGCCTTGACTCACATATGAGCTTAAGTGACATCCCGTTCCTAATCCATAGGGTTCAATATGACGTCGGTCCACCCTTTGCAGCTAGAACAGCTTCAACTCTTCTGGGAAGGCTGTCCACAAGGTTTAGGAGTGTGTTTATGGGAATTTTTGACCATTCTTCCAGAAGCGCATTTGTGAGGTCGCACACTGATGTTGGACGAGAAGGCCTGGCTCTGAGTCTCCGCTCTAATTCATCCCAAAGGTGTTCTATCGGGTTGAGGTCAGGACTCTGTGCAGGCCAGTCAAGTTCATCCACACCAGACTCTGTCATCCATGTCTTTATGGACCTTGCTTTGTGCACTGGTGCACAGTCATGTTGGAAGAGGAAGGGGCCAGCTCCAAACTGTTCCCACAAAGTTGGGAGCATGGAATTGTCCAAAATGTCTTGGTATGCTGAAGCATTCAGAGTTCCTTTCACTGGAACTAAGGGGCCAAGCCCAGCTCCTGAAAAACAACCCCACACCATAATCCCCCCTCCACCAAACTTTACACTTGGCACAATGCAGTCAGACAAGTACCGTTCTCCTGGCAACAGCCAAACCCAGACCCGTCCATCAGATTGCCAGATGGAGAAGCGCGATTCGTCACTCCAGAGAACGCGTCTCCACTGCTCTAGAGTCCAGTGGCGGCGTGCTTTACACCACCGCATCCGACGCTTTGCATTGCACTTGGTGATGTATGGCTTGGATGCAGCTGCTCGACCATGGAAACCCATTCCATGAAGCTCTCTGCGCACTGTTCTTGAGCTAATCTGAAGGCCACATGAAGTTTGGAGGTCTGTAGTGATTGACTCTGCAGAAAGTTGGCGACCTCTTCGCACTATGCGCGTCAGCATCCGCTGACCCCGCTCCGTCAGTTTACGTGGCCTACCACTTCGTGGCTGAGTTGCTGTCGTTCCCAAACACTTCCATTTTCTTATAATACAGCTGACAGTTGACTGTGGAATATTTAGGAGCGAGGAAATTTCACGACTGGATTTGTTGCACAGGTGGCATCCTATCACAGTTCCACGCTGGAATTCACTGAGCTCCTGAGAGCGACCCATTCTTTCACAAATGTTTGTAAAAACAGTCTGCATGCCTAGGTGCTTGAATTTATACACCTGTGGCCATGGAAGTGATTGGAACACCTGATTCCAATAATTTGGATGGGTGAGCAAATACTTTTGGCAATATAGTGTATATATATAGTACATCAGAAAGATGGCCCCCAAAGACAAATGGCTCGGTGAGTACCTCAGGCAGGAGAAAACCGAAAGTGAGGACAAGAAAGAGGAAGGGGAACCATCATGGAGGGACAAGCCGCTGCACGGCGTATACCACAGACAAATAGAAGAAGTGGCTGATATCAAAAAATCCTACCAGTGGCTGGAAAAGGCTGG